ATCGAGCTTAGCAGTAGCGATGAGGCTGCTGCTATATCAGACAACGATGACGATGCTGGAATATTCAGCAATGTCAAAGATTGTGCAATCGAGGAAGAAGACAATCTCGCTCAAGAAGAGAAGAGTCACTTAGCGCACACGAAACGCAATGAAAGACAAAACAACGAGTCAGCAGAGAACTTTCTGCTGACTCGAGAGGCGGTAGTCCGTTTCGTTCAAGACTCCATCGAAAATGCGGTGGACCGCCAGAAACGGAACGAAGACAAGAATGGAAGAGCAAATGTTCTTTCATTCAAAGTCAACGACCTAGTGCTACTGTCTACGGTACTCTTACCAGCACATGCAGTCACTAACTTCGGCAGCAGTAAAGGCTGCCGAAATAAATTGGTCCCTTTCGTGTATTGCACAGCAAAGAATTAAAAACACGATTAAGTTGCCTCGCAGGATGCGCACGCATCCTACGTTTTATGTTGGTCGTCTCCGCGTGTACCATCAGCACGATGCCTTTCCGAGAGCTGAGATAGCGACCACGCTCAAGAATCCCCATCAAACTCTTGTGATCACAGACGAAACATCCAGTTGGTTTTTCAGCAACGCAGTCTCGCGACGAACCGCCTTTAGCCCGTCGCGCAGATGGCGCTTCTAGCGATCTTTTTTAAGCTGAATGATCGCGAAATCCGATCGGTCTTTCTCCCGATCGGCACAGAGACGTCACACGGTCGACAACAACTCGTGTAGACGATCGTGTTCGTGATCGACGTCTTCGCTCAACTCGTTCAGGTAACGTTCTTGGTTACTTAAAGTCTCTTGAAGACCTGGCAGCTGAGCCGTACCTTGTCTTTATACAACCACCGGAGACACTGGTGGATTTTCACGGTGTTCGACGCTTTCACGTGAAATGTATCTTGAGCCACCACGTGGAGAACGTGGAGCGTACAAGTTACCTTGTCCACATGGCGTGGGTATCCACAATCGTATGACAGCTGGGAGCCCCGCTCCCAGCTGATGATGGGTGCGCCCGGTCTCGTTCACCAATATGACGAGGCTCATCCGATAAGACCTCGGGCCCATCGGTAAACACACGCTTTTTGGGCATGTAGACGGATTGCAAGTTTGCAATCGCGTCCCGCATCTCAGCCGAGATGTGTGCCCTTCCCCAGGGCGAACTTAGGGAATACACGTCCCTATGTGCACGCTGCGAGTTGTCAACACAACTCGGACAACGATATCCCCAAGTGAGGCAAGGGAGGTCTGCCTCACTCGACAAACGATGCAACCGTTACCTGGCACCGGTTGGCGTTCGCTTTTCAACCTTGATGCGTACCGCTTCAAGTTTTTGGAGCCATCCTTCTCGTCCAAAAATCTTGACATTTGGATGAACGCGTTCCACGATGCCAAAAGCGAGTTCTTGTCACGCTTTTGGTTACCATTATACCATCGATGCCTAAGGAAGGCATCGAAATAGAAATCTTCTTCAGCGCGAAAGTTACTAGCGTTGGAACTTAAGCCATGAAGCTCAGTTGCATCGAATAAAGAAATTCGATGGTGTTGGCTTGTCTCGTGAGACAAGATATTGATGAGCTACTCGGGCAAGCGCCACGGCTTCAGCTCACCACGCTTCAATGTAGTACCTGTTTCGGTACCACGGCTTACAGAATGACGACGGCTCTCGCCATCGTCATCACGTTCGTGCGGGGAAGGCCGAGTTGATACTGGTGAGGCATAGTATTCCTCTCCATAGAGTTCATCATCACTGCCGAACAGACTGTGTTGCATTTCACGAGTCCGCTCGTTTGACAGTGAACTTGACAAACGATAAGACACCGCCGGTGATCGGGATGCCTCTAGTACGTTGCGCGAGTCAGGCACGTCTGACTCGCCAGAATTGATGACCTCATTGACAAGGTCATCATTTGCACGTGGTGCGATACCGCGTGCGTCTGCAGCACCTTCTGATGCAGACGGAGAACAAGCAGCAGACGAAGAAGCGTCTGCTGCAGAGGCTGGCACAGCAGCAGGCTGTGTTGTCTTCGAATTTCCTCGCATAGACATGTTAACTATACTAGGCACGGTCAGGAGTGAATGGGTCTGACCAAACAAGTGCTCCCTGTCCCACTGGTGTCCAACGGATAGCCACCAAGTTTTCGTTAGTCACACGGTGACTACCAGATAAGAGAGGGGTGATGTAACGGGGTAGTCCGTTACATGAAATTGACATTGAAACAATTTGACAATAAAGAATATTTAGTCGAATATTGTTTTAACAATATCTCAGACATGGTGATATTGCTGAGATGACCGAAGGGTCTACACATTGGTTAATATCGTGATGGTATCAACCCACCAATCGCTGCTAGACGCGCGCAATGGGTGGTGAGTAGACGTCATCATACATATAGTTGTATAAGTATAATTCAGTCAGGAAAACAGAAGCTTCAAGAAGTTATAGGACTTAAATATATTAATACAGTTTTACTTTTACCAGAGACTAGTCTGTCCAATTGGTCTCCGTTCCTTCCTCTTTGTTCCTTTAACACCTAGCAGGTCACTGTCGACCACTTTCGTCAGTGGAAGTATACTCCGTACTGGTCAACCAGTACGTAGTCAACAGTGCCCCGTTACACACAGAACATGCTGTTCTCTGGAATGCGGTTGCGGGTAGGAAAGGATAAGGTTCGGTACTCATTCAAAAATGTCGGTAGAGAACGTTGTGATACGAGTCTACCGGCCATGTCTTAAGAAGGTTTTGGAATGCTAACGATAGACTGCGACTGCAGACAACTATTCAGCTGCAAGTAAAGGGCGACCCGTCGTTTTTCTAGACAAATAGACGACGGTTTAAGCCAGCAAAAGATAAACAGGATCTAAGCGGATACACAGTGTTAGTAGCTTAAGGTTTGAAGGTGAACATCCACGATATTGCGCAAAATGATAAGTTACGCGAAGACCATTCCGTACATCGCGGTTCAGAATTCGATCCACATCGATTTCTTCCATCGAGCCACGGCTAATAAGTTCCAAACCACATTTGTCCCGTTTCCGCGGCGGGTTTATCGGTTAAACAAACGACATGAAACGACTTCGGGAGCAGTGTGGGATCGCTAAATCAGGACTGACGAGACGCGTCTCGTGATGCAGACATCATATATCATCTGTCGTTACAACTTTTACGCGATACCTCGACATCGGACGCTTGACAATCTTTATTTTTCAGACCACCTTTATTTCGAATCAGACCTGAAAAAACGTAAATTTACTGACTCCTTATTAAGGGCATCCATGGTGTAAAGACTGACGATTCAGCTGGTAGGATGCTTAGAAGTTGTCCGAGATGTGGTTCGACTCCTACGGTTTGTTACATTAATTATGTATTAACATCCAGGAGTCGGGAAAAAACTTGCAATGTCTGGGCTAAGGAAACATTGGTCACACTACGGTTCGGTGTGGGTATTCGAAGGATCAGCTGCGGGGGACAGGAGTCATTATGGCTCGAGATGAAAACGTGGTTCTACTTGAGGACCTTGCAGCTCCATTTCGCAGCTTGGATGATATAAGGGACATCGCGGCACAGCGTTTTTGGCTACTAGCCTAAGCCTATAAGTTACCTTCAAAGGATATCCAGCCATCTCCTATAGGAAGACTCGCGCCCGCCACGACCCTCTCCAGTACCGAATGACAGACTAGTAAAGCCGTGTCGGCTGCAAGTAGTTGCCGATTGTTTAGGTTGTCCAGCAAGCTCCTGCGCATCTTGCGCGGCCTCCGTCACATCCTAAGAATAAATGCGTCGCAGTTCCTGTTTCCCGGGGTCTCAAGGCGATTACTATTCTAAGAATACGCATTCAAGCAGGTTTGCGTTTTTGACGTCGCGATATGCTGCACTGGCCGAGCAGGATGCGATCGAGGATGTCGACGACGAGACTGTCATTTCTTTACCCTCATCCGCATACATGTCGGGTGTTACGGCCATCTCAGAGGCGGTATCAGCCCCTTATACTACAGTCAAAACTCCAGTTCCAGAGGTCCGGCTCCGGATTATGGAAAAAATACCCCAAAAGATTTACTCATGCCTCATTAGGAGCGCTTAAACAAAAGGATCGGACCGCGCTTCGGCAGCATGTCTCCCGAGTGGGTGAAGATAATAGGATATGTAATATACTAGAGCTTCAGGCCGGAATGAATTCGACTCCTAGGTCGACGGTGTCTGTACAAGAGCAGTTGACCGTACAGCCCGATCCGATGTCGGCTAATGGCAATTTTATGGTCATGTCTTTGGTTCAGGCGCTAGATAACTACAAGCTGATGCACAGGGATAAGGTTCTTCTGCCGGGGACAGCCAGCTTAAAGCGGGGTATATCATTTGCTGGGCAGATGTAACGGGGTAAGCCCGTTACATAAAAATCGGTACGAAAGTACCAATTTTTAGATATTCTTTAGTTTCGATATTATTCAATCAACATCACTCATAATGAGTGATGTTGTCGGATTATTATCGCTAAGGATAATATCCGTGGAGGGGTCCACTTCTTAGTTGATGTACGGTGTACATCAACCAAATTAACCACCCATCGCTGCTGGACGCACGCAATGGGTGGTGAGCAAGGGACACACATAGGAGAAGATGCTTTCATTTAGTTAGAGTAAGTCAAAGATGATTTATTGACGTATTAATTATAATAAATAAGGGACCTCCAAGGCGTACATCCCCTAATAATCAAGCGTACCCTCCCGTGATGTCGAAATTTTTCCCCCACGAATAGCGTTTTGCAAAATGCTTGTGCCAACCTTTTGTCGTGCACCTTCGGACCCATTTCCTCATCTACATACAATCACTAATAAAACCATTCGCACGTGACGCCCACAGTCTACCATGCCAAACCATTTAAAAAGAGCTCCTACCTTCACTCCCGAAAACATTCAGATTGACATACTGAACATTTGATCTGTTCTACTCCCTACCAGCCCATTCAATTGTCCAGTTAATACCTCCCATTCCCTCACCATCACTCCCACAGCACAACCTCAACCGCAGTGCACTTGAAATCGTGCAGACTCGTGTCGCTGCCTGTCGCGTCAATCACGAGCCCCAGATTCACTACAGACGCCGAGCGCGTACGGACAATCGGTTGCTCCATCACCACCGACGGCGCATGACTCTTTCGACTGGAAAAATGGATATCTTAGCTGATAAACAACAGCACAGAAAAAGAGATACACAGGAGAGCGTAAGAACGGGCCACGCCACAGACGGGACAGCAGCTCACGTACAAAGACGCAAGCGGGGCGCGCAGGTGTAACGGCGGCGCGCTCTTGAGGCGCGTCGTGTACGGCAGCGTGCGCTCGAACAGCTGCCAGCGCGTGGCGTCCCAGCGCAGCAGCTTGCGGACGCTTGAGGTGGCGTGCTTGCGCTTGGATACGCGCGTGGCCGCGTCCTCGCTGTCCATGCTGTGGCTTCAACATAGTGGAAAAGAGAGTAATGGTCCCTTGCGGCTTCTTTCGCGCGCTAACTCTCGGTTTCTGGTCAGAGCGAGAAAAAAATAAACCTCGTTTTATAAAAAACGAGAGGGTACACGGAACGATTAGACGGTTACACACACGGGGGGGGGGGTGCGCGCAGTCATTAGGGGGTGTACGCCTAGGCGGTCCCTTAGATAAACTGTTGTACTTTTTCCTCAAGACATAGCTTTCGGGTTCGGTTTCTGGTACCGCTTCCTCGGTTGCCCTGTGTACGCTTGTCGGGCACACGTCACCCTTGCGTTGAGTTCACGCAAGTAGTATGCCCTATTACAGCAGATGCACATGATGGATTAGTTTAAGTACGAGACTCGAATGACGTCTTTGCTGGACGTAAATAGAGGATGGATGGAGATGACGAGTATCGAGTCAAATAAAACATTATAAATGGTACCTTAAAGAATAAGCGTCCAGTGCGACGGACCGGATGACCGCGGTGGACCGGCTATACTAGGGTGGCACTTAGAGTAGGCCATGACAGCTAATTTTTATAGCATAATATATATTTACTTTCACAATCCAACTAAGTATCGCGGCACTGGAAATGTAGTTAGTATCGCCCAAGTTCAAAGGGCAAAGCGCGACGAGTGATTGAAACGGGAGATCAGGTAACCTTACAATACAGGAGTGCATTGAGCGGATCTTCGACGATAAAAAGGCTAGGTCGGGGCCTCTTCCATTGATCTTGCAGTACTATGGTGATCACTACTTCACTTTTGTCAACCTCATACAAATTGCGGCAGACGCTTCTGCGGGGCAGAATGTATAGATGGAGAGGGTATTCGCGGCGAGCAGGTGAGCGACAGCGATGAAGCGATTATAGAAGTAACGGCACGGGTCGAGCTCAAATATAAGTTAGAGTTCCAGCCTAAGCGGGGAAGTATTTTACAGGGGAGGACAACATCCAGTCGCCTCCCGCTTCGTCGATGGTCTAGTGTGCCTCTTCCTTAATGGTCCTAGTACAGGGAGGTCCCGAACTAGACGAAACTACTACAGTCGCTTTGCGGACGCCACTGCGGGTACCGAAGCCGAGTGTTTTGCTCGAAAGCGGGCGAACATCACGCCGCCGGAGGAAAGGGAAAAGCAGGGATTGATTTTTCGTAAAAAACCTGACGACTTGGTCCTAAAAACGACGAAGTGATAATGATAGGTTGCTGATTGCAGCAGATCCAGACGAGGTAATGTACCTGGCGGTTCCCACGGAATGGCAGGATATGTGTCAAGTCTTAGCATCGGAATGGTCTCGAGAGACAATGGCGGCATTTCCGAATGAGTTTAGCTCGACTGTTTAGTGGACAACCGCGGGCAAGGGGGAGTCGAAGTTTCTTCTCGATTTGACTCGGGGTTTGATCATCGAGGTGCTTTGCAGACGATTGTAAGCGACGAAACCCTATAGACTTAGACGGTGACTTGGAGGCCAGAGTGTATGTACTCTTGTCTCATGGTATATCGCGCCAGGGCGAAAGTTCGAAACACCTTAAAATGGCTTGAAAAGTGGAATGATTAAACCTATAGAACCGTATCAGGATCTTTGTTCATTCATTAAACTGATAAAAGTGATTGCTGGAGCAGATTGCGAAGCGAAGCTACGCCACTAAATAATTTGTTGCGCCGATGTTATGTTCTGCACAAGACTCAACTAGCGCGTCACATTGTATGTGTGTTGCTCTCCCACGATGAACTAACAATGCTAACAGATGCGGAGGAGGATCCTGACAACGCCGTTACCCTTCGTCTTTGCCGGCATTTTGTGGGGTATAAGAGCACCAAGAGGTACAGGGTGGCATATACTGCTATAGGTACTTCGGCCGACCGGACGATCCATCAAATTTTCATTGAGCATTATATTGCCCATATATGTCCCCAGCATAGTATCAGCTATTAAGGGCAGCCATAATAATTAACACCAGTATCTACGGCAGCGGCTTCCTGCTAGCCCTACGGACTACATATATGGTCTCCACTACCGCTTAAAATATGGTGTGTTTAGCTTACAGGGACACTCATGATGCATTAAGTCGAACTGAGAGGGTTGTTAGTGTTGATACGTAGAATGCCCGGGATTTAACGGCATCCAATCGCGACCAGTAGATGGAGGCGTGGCGTAGCTTACCGGTCGGCACACGACCTCTGGTGCGCTGTCGCATGAAACCCATGTCGATAACGATGCGTTAGCGACAAATATAAAACATAATTTGGAATCGGCGGTGAGCGCATCCATCCCGCTCTAATAGTCCACCTCTTTCGTACTGGAGCTTTGGCACAAGAAAGAAAGGGAGCGTCGCCATTTCACTCGATCTTGACCGTGCGGCGAAAGCAACACATTGGCATCCGATACTTTGGAACATCCGCATTGCTGTCTAATGGAATCAGGGGCATGGCTGGGCAAGGGCATTGTTGGTCAACACTCATGCTTCAAATACCGCCTATGAACGCGGGGTTTTTTTTCCATTTAATTCGCTGGCCTTGGCCGTCGCGTGCAGTCATAATGGCAGGCAACTTCGACTCCGTTCAAATCCCGGTATTAGACATAACAAATGGTAGCAGGACGGGGCGCCCGAAAAGCCCGGCGCTCATGGACCTAACCACAAGGTTGGATCTCGCCGATGCACGCAGTCGAGCGGGACAGTTGGAATATTAAGAACCACCTGACCTTACTAATTGTTTAATTACTGGACACAATCTATGTCGAGCAGAATCGATCGTTTTTACGTTCCGCCAATGTGGTCATCTCGGGTCAATAAGTCGAAGTTTTGGCCCCTGTGGTAGATTCTGGTCATCAGCATGGTATTACTTTTATTAGCTTTAAGTTCATGGCATATTCCGCCGATTGTTTAAACCCGGTCCGTTATATTTTATATCCAAGGGGTTTAGCATACAAGGGTCAAGGCGGCTTAAATAGCGGAATTAGTATACCAGAACGTAAGGTTGGAGGTCACGACAAGGACCTAGGATAGCATTCTGCCAAAGGATGCCGCGGCGATTGTGTCTATATGAAATTGAGATAAACCGCGCTGTAAGCGGTATGTAAATAGATTGCAGGCGCGAATACGCGCGTATATCTCTACTCGGAAGAAACTTATACAAGCCAATCCGAACTCACCCATGTCGGAACATATGATTCGAGACGGGAATAAATTGGAGCGCACCTCCGAGCTATTGCGGTTTGCTTTCAAGAGGGTGTCTGATTGGGAGGGCGATTAAACGGTTCCACGCATTCAAAATTTTTTGTGGGAATAATTTGCACGCGCTTCCACTGCTGCTGACCGCTATTCATCGGTTTGGCAGCCACACCGCAAAATTTATTGTTTGGACCATCCGAGTTTGCAGACATATAGCTGCGGACTCGGATGGTCTTATATTATATTTGACATGGACAACCAAGATTTATTGGCCCCAGCCATCGTTCAACATGTAAATGAACTTCTCGTGTGCTACAACTACCACCATTTATCCTGGACACGCTCATTTTTCCGCTTTAAATGAAGGGCAATTTCGAAAACACTTTGGACTACAGGCCGATATTATTACTTTAAAAAGGGTATAAAGTATATAATAAAGTCTTGGCTGCACGCCTTTAACGCACAATAAATAAATTAGTAGGAGACTTACAGCAAGAATTTGTACACGGTCGCTAGATGGTGATATTTATGATGAATACTATTTTGGCAGTCTGAGATACTTCTCGAACTGAACCAGACATAAACGGTAGAATAGCCGTTTGATTCCAAATTAAGATTTCAGGAAGGCTTTCAATACCGTCGCCGGTAATTGATTGTTTCATCGTCATTATTTGCTTTAAATTCTCGCTGGCCTTCGGATCGCTGATGCGCAAACTGCATGATAAAGCGATTGCGCGATTTCTTGTCAAACATGGAATTTTTGCCCCGAAAGGTTTAAAAAATGGATATGGCAAGGCTCTCCTCCCGCGCCGTTAGTGGTTACATTATCGGTGGAGGTATTGGCGTTAGCAATAACACAGGATCCCGCACTTCGATAAGTACAAGTGCCCGGGGCTCTTACCGACTGTCACATTCATTCACGGATTGTCGACGATTCGACGGTCTTTCTCAATGAATCCCGACAACTTCCACGAGTGCTACAAATTGAGGCAATTATGGGTAAACGTCAGGGCTTTCACATCTGCCATCGAAGAGTAACGTCATTTTTTCAACGGCGTTATTAGCGACTAGCTATAGATGGATGTCTGTTTAGACACCCGGTGCCACGACTCGATATCTGGGTCACCAACATATAATAGGTGAACAGGCGGACAATTAAGGGCCGTCGAAATTCTTACGGTGTGGCGCCGACTTGCGACGGCGGCCTGATTAGCAACTAGCGTCGTGCTCAGGGCGCAATTTTGGAGTTGGATATTACTAACTTGTATACTGTTTACAGCAGCGGTTTTTAAAATTCCCTAATGGACAGCCAAGGAGCTGTGGAATCTATACAAACCATCATATGTCGACACTAGGAATCGACGGAGCCAAGCTGGCACAAAGTAAATCTAGGGCTTCTGCTCACGTCGAAGGCATCTGTTTAGTCTCCATTCCAGTGGCGGCCAAGTCCCGAAGCGTCAAACATGCCTTGTTGTGACTGACACAGCGGTCAGAGCGATACGGGGCGGCTTGAAAGTCTTGGGCATTTCGGGGGGTGTCTTTGCCCGGGAATTATATTGTTAGAACGCAAGATCTGGAGCTTTTACGTGACAGAGAAGCTACCAACCAGTAGGATTGTCATTACGGTAGCGTTAGGAGCGCGGCTTCGATTACAGCCTGAGGAACATTCGGCGATGATGGACCGGCATGCCGCTATTATGCCGCGCCTTATTGCTCAGCGATAGTTTGGCGCGATGGCGATAACTTGAACTTCTCTAAATATGTGCTCAACCTCCAATAAAACCTCGGACATTTCCGGACAAAACGTG